AGAAGATCAAAACAAACACATCCTTCTCGCTTTCTCTTTCTCTGACCATGCTTAATTACTTTACTACCCCTCAACCAGAAGAACATTTTTCAGCTGTCCAAGACAGATTTAGATGCCGGATAACTACACAAAAGACAATCGTTAAAAAGATAGGAAGAAAACATTAATTCCTTTAAATAATATGTTTAACTAACCATTCTTCGCCTGAGGAGCTTCACAAGACCCGAAACGTGTGTAGCGAAATATACGAAATAAAGTATAAAAAATCCACATAATAAACAAAAACGTTTGCGGCTTTTTCTCTCTTTGAAATACACACTTTTCTATCACTGGAACAACAATAATCTCTCCCATATATATATATATATATATATATATATATATATATATATAAAGAAATATAGTCTTAAGGTGTGCTATATTTATGGAATAAAGTGCTCAATATCAGAGATAGAGCGTGTGTAAATATAAAAGTGAACATAGAAGTCAACACTTAGAGGCGACAGTCTGTTTCATGCTATATGCAATCGTCAGGCCACATATGCTGTTATTTTTCTGGGTCTTTTTTTATATATATATATATATATATATATATATATATATAATGGCTTCAAAATGAAACTGCTCTCATTTACCTACCAAAGAGAAACCTCCCAGCCACCTATCAGCATGGATGATGCCCAACACCAACAGAGCGTCTCTCTGTCCCTTCTTGGTCTCACGTTTTCAACTGACCTGAGAGTTGTTTCTCTGTTTCACGCCAGAAGGTTTTTCTCGTTTGAGTCCTTCCTTCAAACTTACAAATCTACCATTCGTCCTTGAATATTGTTGCCATATATTGTCTGGTGCTCCCGCTGTTCATCTCCAGGTCCTCGGCAAAATCCAGAGACGGATATGCAATGTGATAGGTCTTGATCTGGCATCTCGCCTACAATCACTTTCTTAGAGACGTGATGTGGCTTCCCTCCGTCTTTTCTACAAATATTTCCATGGCAACTGCTCTGACGAGCTACTTTCACTGCTACCCCACCTGCATGAATTTAAGCGTGCTACTAGGTTGGCATATCCATCCCACCCTTTCACTGTCGAAACAGTTAAATATAACCGCTTCTTCTACTCCAACTGCTTTTCTTCTCGCACTTCCCGACAGTGGAACTCCCTTCCTCCTACTTGCTTCCCTAATAGCTATAATCTTAAAATAATCAAATGCAATGTAAGTCGACATCTTCTGATGTCTTGATCCTGATCCCATCCTTCTCTATATCCTTTCCTCAAACACCCCTCTTTACTCTTGCTCTCACTCATTGTAACCCCTTGCGTGCTAGTGGCACTCCTGCCTATATATATATATATATATATATATATATATATATATATATATATATACGAGGTCTAATCAAAGAGTTGGGATTATTGTCATGTTAACAGAGCTAAAGTAAGCAGAGTGAAGCCGCTTGGATTAGGCCCTAAACTCTGTCGTGTATGCACACTAAATTATAACATTCTCATTCACTCCCGTTGCTTATATCAGTCTTATAAGGAAAGTGTGTAGAGTGCGGTCGTCTCACAGATATTCAGGTAGTGACCATGCCTTATGCAGTAATTTTTGACTAAGTATAACATTCAAATCTTACTTGAAAGGTACAAGATGTCAAGACTTCGAATAAATCCAAGAGAATGAGACGAGGCAGCTGCTTGCTGTACCAAAGTAGGAGTTCTAGGAATGCTTCCATCAATGGAAACGACGCTGATAAGGTTTGTCTTCATCGTGATGTTTGGAATGATCACGAGTGATGGCGACGTTATGCCTCCAATCATCTTCCCACAGGGCTTCAGACTCAACACGGAGGCCTACATCAAGTGCTTTTCAGAAGGCACTTTGTCCTGGGTCAACAGGCGGGCAGCTGGAAGACTCCTTGTAAAACCAAAGATGAAGGCAAGGATTATGGCAGCATTCACAATCTTAAATAAGAAAGATTCCGAAGTCATCTGGAGGCCGTGGTTGAAGCCAATGGCAATTTTATTTAATAAATTTACTCTTTAGTATTTCAAGTTATTTTTGTGTAATTTTGGTAAATATATCTTTTAAAATGAGATGTCAGTGTTATTTTCATTTTTGCGTGATTTAGACGACAATTTATTAATCACACCTATATATATATATATATATATATATATATATATATATATATATATATATATATATATATATAGCTTGTCACACGTATTCGAGGATACTCGTCTTCTAGGGCGGCAATCCCTATTGCAGACGCTTGTTCAGGCGCATTTGTGTTTATTCAACCCCGACAGAGCCTACCTGTGGTTTATACTACAACTATTCTGAGCAGACCTTAGTTACAGTTTCTGGGAAAGAGCGTTATCTAGCGTGATCAACAATTTGAACATGACTTGTGACTTGTGAGTGAGATTGGGTAGACGTCTAAGGATATTAGCGAATCTACATCTTCATATTTTAGTAACAGATGCTGTTTGTAACCGTTCAGTTTAAGACTATACTTTACTTTCTTTTAAACTTAAACTTTTGCATGGAAAATATTTGTATCCCTTGAAAAGTTTACTGAACAATGTTACCACATAATATTTTCTTTTCTACTTTTCATTGAATTTCTTCATTGGAAACTTACCGGGAGCAAATCTGTTTTTCTTTAACTATGCTAATTGCTTTACGCAGTTACTGTACATGACCGGTGACATTGACAATGCATTTGCCTCACATAAATAATGAAATAACACGTTTTTAATTGACAACTAAGATTGTAAAAAAGATTATTTAAAATTACAGCTTTAATTACTTTTCACAGTGATGTAAGTAGTTGCGTAAAACGAATTTAAAACATGGGATGTTCAGATTTACTTGTAGTCATAAAATAATCAGTTTCGTATAAATTTAATCTGACAGAAACAACAATTACCCCCATTAGTATTAAGGAATCGTTTTACTGCCATTATCACCAGCTGCCATCCAAGTCGTGACATTTTACCCGGCGTTAACGGGTACTTCATCTCGTATGTATGTTGTAGGTATGTAAGTATGTGTGTATGCACAATACAGCCGTCCTTTGTTTATTATTCATTTTTTGATCGACTGAAACTTTGTCTTTGTTTTCTTTTTCTCTTCGTCTGTTTCGTATCTTTTCACCCTTTCCACTTCTTTCTTTCTTTCTTTCTTTCTTTCTTTCTTTTTCATTCTTATTTCCATTTCTTTCTTTCTTTGTTTCTTCCTAAAAAAATATCTCCACTTCTCTCTCATTTTCTTTCTTTCTTTCTTTCTTAATCTTATCTCCACTCCTCTCACATTTTCTTTCTTTCTTTCTTTCCTTCTTTCTTTCTTTCTTTCTTTCTTTCTTAATCTTATCTCCACTCCTCTCACATTTTCTTTCTTTCTTTCTTTCTTTCTTTCTTTCTTTCTTAATCTTAACTCCACACCTCTCACATTTTCTTTCTTTCTTTCTTTCTTTCTTTCTTTCTTAATCTTATCTCCCCTCCTCTCACATTTTCTTTCCTTCTTTCTTTCTTTCTTTCCTTCTTTCTTTCTTTTCATTCTTTCTTTCTTTCTTTCTTTCTTTCTTTCTTAATCTTATCTCCACTCCTCTCACATTTTCTTTCTTTCTTTCTTTCTTCCTTTCTTTCTTTCTTTCTTTCTTTCTTTCTTTCTTTCTTCCTTTCTTTCTTCCTTTCTTTCTTTTCTTTCTTTTCTTTCTTAATCTTATTCTCCTCCTCTCACATTTTCTTTCTTTCTTTCTTCCTTTCTTTCTTTCTTTCTTTCTTTCTTTCTTTCTTTCTTTCTTTCTTAATCTTATCTCCACTCCTCTCACATTTTCTTTCTTTCTTTCTTTCTTTCTTTCTTTCTTTCTTTCTTTCTTCCTTTCTTTCTTCCTTTCTTTCTTTCTTCCTTTCTTTCTTTCTTTCTTTCTTTCTTAATCTTATCTCCACTCCTCTCACATTTTCTTTCTTTCTTTCTTCCTTTCTTTCTTTCTTTCTTTCTTTCTTTCTTTCTTAATCTTATCTCCACTCCTCTCACATTTTCTTTCTTTCTTTCTTCCTTTCTTTCTTTCTTTCTTTCTTTTATTCATTCTTTCTTTCTTTCTTAATCTTATCTCCCCTCCTCTCACATTTTCTTTCTTCAAAATTCTCTTCACTTCTCTTTCATTCTGTTTCTTACTTTCTCAATCTTATCTCCACCTCACTCTCATTTTCTTTAATTCTTTCTTTTTTTTCTTTCTTTCATCTATCTTTCTTTTCATTTTCTTTCGCATTCTTCCTTCAAATTCACTCTCAGTTTCTTTCTTTCTTTCTTATTTTCTTTAATTCTTCTTTTTCTTTCTCCTTTCTTTCTTTTTTCATTTTCTTTCTCAATCTTGTCTCAATTTGTTTCTTTCTTTCGTTCTTTCTTTCTTTCACAAAATTTTCTTCACTTCTCTCTCATTTTCTTTCTCAATCTCATCTCCGCCACACTCTTAATTTCTTTCTTTCTTAATCTTATCCCAACCTCACTCATCATGATTCTCTCCACCTAACTCTTTCTTTCTTTCTTTCTTTATTTATTTCTTTCTTACTCAAAATTCTCTTCTTTTCTTTCTCGTTTTCTTTCTTTTTTCCTTCCTCAAAATTCTCTTCATTTCTCTCTCACTTTCTTCCTCATGATTCTCTCCACCTCACTCTTTCTTTCTCTTTCTTTCTTTCTCAAAATTCTCTTCTCTTCTCTCTCGTTTTCTTTCTTTTTTTCTTTCTTCAAGCGATTTTAATATTGCTTTTTTTTCTATTACTTTCAGGTGTTTGATTGTACCTTCCTGGAAAAAAGCGTTCGCTATTTACATAGTGGGAACCCTCTTCTGACGGAGGATCGGATCAAACTACAGGCTCACAAATTCACAAGAGGTAGTACAGTTTCGGAAACCTTTTATCTCAAGTTCAAAATCCAAAACGAGTCCTACGAGATCATTCATACAAAAGGACACAAATCTTTGACGGTGAGCGAAATGACCGGAATGTCCAATTCTTTAGACTCATCCGTGATTCATTATAATTATATATCCGATTCCAATATATCTTGCTCTATCGGCTTCTCGAAGTATAATTCTGAATGGCCGCTAGTTGGCCAGATAGTCATGGGGGAAAAAGGAAAGGTGGTCGAGGCGATAAAAAGAGACTGCCACGAATTCCTCTTGATGGATCTTCGATATGAACACCTGAAGTCCCCCTCACCTGCCGTCGATTACCTGCCGCTCGTCATTGACCTCTACGATCCGTCATCAAAGGATGAAATCTCTGAGAGCTTCTTCCTTCCGATCTTTGTCCAGAACGCCTTCCCGAATTCGCCACCACGAGCTTCTTTTAAAAGTATGTATATTATGGACGTCGATCAGTTCATATTGACAACACTGATTCCAGGAGTTATTTCCGCCGAAGACTACGAAACGCCAGCATCGCAGCTGGTTTTCAATATCAGCAAACCTCCCGGAAATGGAAACGGCTATCTGGTCAAGCTGGATGACCACACACAGCCGATAACGTCTTTCATCCAAGACGATTTAGACAGCCTACGAATTGGATATCAGCCGCCAAACACGAGCTATGCAGAAAGAAAAGTTTACGAAGTAGAGTTTACCGTTTACGACAGCCACTTCTCGGCGAGCATGCCTATAAAACTGCACATCGCTGTTCGCCCTTCCGTAACGACTGCGCCCCGCATTTCATACAACAAGGGGCTGGTGCTTCTTGAGGGAGAAAGAAGACCAATTCTTCCAAATAACTTGCAGATTGTTGATCAGGATAACGTGAATGACGTGAAGATCTACGTCAAAGGCGGACTGAATTACGGCCAACTGAAAGTGAACGGGAGTTTGCTCATCTACTTTACAGTGAGAGACCTTGCTAACGGCAACGTTGTTTATGAACACGACGACAGCGACAGCACCAGAGACAACATCGAATTACGAATTACTGACCAAACGGATACTGTCAGAGCGAGTTTCCCTATCACGATCATACCGAAGGACGACACTCCGCCATATGTCGTCAACAATCTCGGCCTGGAGCTGAACGAAGGCGCGGTGCACCGCATTGGCAAAAGTCTCCTTTTGGCACACGATTCCGACACTCTAGACTCGAGGATTATTTACTCGATCGTCAAGACCACTCGAGCCGGCGAGATCATTTTTAGGCAAAAACCCACAGACAAGGGACGGCACGTGAAAAAGTTCACCCAGCTGAATTTGATGCAGGGTCAGATCTACTACCGTCATATACGCAGTGGTAGGTTTAGAGATTCATTTGACTTTGTTCTTAAGGATCAAGAGATCCCCCCAAATGTTTCCCCTAAAGAAACATTCCAGATTATTATCAATTCGATCAACGATAACCCGCCAATCCTCTCTCCGACTGCCACCCAGTTCATGCAGATCCAAGAAACGAACATCGGTTACATCAGCAAAGCCCAGCTTGACTACTTCGACAAGGACAGTAAAGAAAGCCAGTTGGTTTATACCATCACGACTCCGCCTCATTTTGTGTACAACTCCAAGCGAGCGGACGCTGGTCGCGTGATTACAACTCACAACATAACAATGCTTCGAAAAGACTTGTCGTTACCGATGACGAAGTCTTTCACGCAGAAAGACATCAACCAATTGAAAGTGGCCTACGTTCCGCCCGCGAACGACATCGGAACGGAACCGTGCCTTGTACGCTTCATCTACATGATTGAAGATTTCTCCGGAAATCGAATATCGGGTCAACAGTTTGACATCGAAGTGCAACCGGTTGATAACCAATCGCCCGAGTTTATTACCAACAAACTGCTGGTGGAAGAAGGTGGAACAATTGGAATTACTACCAGCCAAATATCCGCCATGGATATTGACACGTTACCTTCAGAACTTTCTTTTGTATGCGGACAACTTCCGCAATATGGGATGTTACAAAAAAACGGGATAAACCTGAAGAAAGAGGATCATTTTAAATTAGCTGATCTCAAGGAGAAAGCAATCAGGTAAGCATTATTCCTGCAATAATCCTACTCCATTAATCAATAATCCTCGCATTAATACATCGAAAATCTCATCTTCTAGATTTTCAATACATTTGTACTGTAAATATTTACAATACTTATTTCTACTAGTTTTAACGCATTGTGATAAGCCATAGATCACACGAACCCACTGCTCGAAAAGAGTTGCCCTTGCTTAATCTAAACTATACAAACCTAAGCCAGTTTTACGCTCTTTTACTCCGAGTATTAACAAATGTTTTTCTTCATTTAAATATTGTAATTGATTGACTTGATTTTACGGATTATCAACCTTTTGTAGGTTATTTTAAGCCGAAACATATTCTTGTGTTGTAAGAACAATTCTTTTCTTGCAACTGAACACAGTATTAACACTTGTTTCGTGATAATAATGATTTTCAGATCCCTACAAATAAGAGAGGGAACAGATGGGTCCATGCCTTTTCCAAGGGTACTTGCGCGTAAGCGAACGTAACAAATCCGACCGGACTTCGAACGCGGCTGTCCGATTTCACATTCCGAGCCACTATCCATTACACCACTCGCACGTTCAAGATTACCGTTTCACTAAAAACCCATTATACAGTTTTTTTGCCGTGTCCTTTCAGGACGTAGGCGATTGTGGCTCTCTACAATTCCCTGTCCTTTGTAGCTTTTAATAAATTTTGTACATTTTGTTATCTTTCCTAAACCCCATCCTGCCATCTATTTACTCAATCTCTAGTAGATCGTGTGTTTTTTTCTGTCCCTCTTGCATACAACCTGTCCCGTGAGGATCACATTTTCCAAGCCCACTTTCCTCATTATGTTCTCTGGGAATTTTCACTCTCTCTTCCTGGTGTTATGTATAAGTTTCCTTTTTGTTTCCATTTTCTCTAAATCTTTGTCCATGCTCCAATATTCGGTATCTTTGTGGTATCTTCGATGGATACCGAGGATACCATGAAACTACAATCTACAAAAGTTTAAATACGACACCAATCATTATCTTCTGTCTCTTTGAATCCTGGTTTTAATTTTTTTTTTTTTTTGTGCCTTGTGGCAAACACGTGTCACTACAGACGCAAAAGTGGTACCGTGTCGCGTGCGCATATGTCTGTCAAAATTATTCACATCCGAGTTTTCCGAGTGAGCAGCAGAATAGCTTGACATGTCCAGATACAGGCCTCTCTGCAACTTGTTCAGATGCGGGTCTTTGACAACTGTCTCGTGTCAATAAAAGCGATGGGAAAAACAGCAGTTTGAAAGTCTCGCTTTGCCGTCGACGGTGCATATTCTTCTGCAAGTTGCGCCATGTCAGAGGCCCTCACGAGTCATTACTCCATTTTATTTTATTTCATCGCGTCTCTTTTTACTTGTTTCCCCGTAATTTTTAAGAAAACAAACTGTTAAGTGCCCCCCACCCCTGACTACCAACTGCAACACACTCTTGCCTTATATTAGTACTTCCCTTCTTATCAGTAACGGTTTGTCCGTTTTCTTTCACTCTCATAATATTGGCTTTATCGCCTATCTTGAGCTGAAATGATTTAAAAAAAAAAAAAAGAAGGCTTTCATATGAAAGTGGATGCTACTGACAACTCTGGAATTTGAAACCGTCTCACCCATTCCACTTTCTATGTGCTACGTGCACACCCTTATCATCTTCCTTGTAATCGTACTTATGTCGTTGAATAAGCACTCATGTTTAGGAAGCATTAGCTGAGCATTTTTTCTACGTGGTTTTTTGAATGCAAGCGTGACGTGGGGCATATTGTTTAAGATGGTGATGCCGTTGTCCTAAATGGCTCAAATACCACTGAAGAGAAATAGGAGGAGAGTTCACACGCCAGCTATCTTTTTCTTAACTATCTTGTCAGCGATTAAATAAATATTTTATCAAGATATCTGGTGATAGAACAACGTACGAGGAAAAGTGAATTGGTATCTTCCCTTAAAGCTAGATAAATATAAGTAGGTTTAGTTATAATTTATATTTAGTTTAGATAGTAGGAAAGAATGGGGTCTTCAGCCTTGTTTGCCAACCAGACTAGGAGAAAAAACTTGAATTCAAAACCAGTGGACATAGGCATGTCAACACGACTCTATCATTATCATTATCACCCTTTGATCTCCCTATAGTTAGTCAGAACTCTATTGACAATCCCTTTCCCAACTGTTCGGTCCTATATTGCTGTCTCCAGATCCCCAATGTACAACCGACCTATGGTGTCTGAGAAAGTCAATTTTTTGTGAGGAGATACTTCCAGGATTGCATAAGAATATGGATGAGACGATTTCTCAATCCGCTCGGTGGCAGTGGCCAGCAAACTGTAATCATTTTTGTTTGAGCTTAAGAGAGATTAGTCTCAGTTCTCCATAAATCGTGTTAAGCATTGCATGGGGTCTCCAACTGATGTTCAGGATTTCTCTAAGTAGATTTGTATTTGTTCCATGTAGACGTCTTTAAGGTTAAATCGTGTATGGACAGCTTTTTTCGAGCTCTGGGTCGCATAAGATGCACTACAAGATGATGATGATGATCATCATCATCCTTCGTCCTCCCTATGGTTGGTCGGAACGCCATTAACAATCTCTTTTCACACTGTTCGGTCCTGTATTGCCTGTCCCCCACATCCCCAGTGTCCAACACTGAGTCCCGAGCTATGGTGTCTGGGAATGTCAATTTTCGTGAGAAGACACTTCCAGAAGGATGCCATAGGAATAAAGATGAGATTTCCCTATCCGCTCAGTGGCAGTGGCCGGCAACAGTAATCGTTTTTGTTAGAGCATAAAACAGATTTGTCTCTGTTCTCCGTAAATTGTGTTAAGCGTTTCATGGGACCTACAACTGATGTTCTGGATTTTTCTAAGCAAATTTCTATATGTTCCACCTAGTCGTCTTTCAAGAGGAACAGATTGTGTCCAAGTTTCTGATCCATACATTAGAACTGGTTCAATCAATGTTCGAGATGTTTGGAATTTTAAAGAGGCTGGAAGGTTTGAATGCCAAATCTTGTGAAATTTGTTAAATTTTAATATAAGTGAGTATTGTTGGTAATGTTTTTATATCAAAATATATTCCTTCAGAACCTGGTGTTACATGGCTCTTGACGCATACGAAAAGAATAAATAAGTTTTTTTTTTCTCTTTAAATATTTCTATTTTTCCCTTTTAAATTTTCTTTATAGAAGTCAGTCAAAAATCTCAACAGGTTGTATATCTCTCATTTTTTAAGCGTGTAATCTTTTTTGTTTGAGCTTAAGAGAGATTGGTCTCAGTTCTCTGTAAATTGTGTTAAGCATTGCATGGAATCTCCAACTGATGTTCTGAATTTTTCTAAGTAGATTTATATATGTTCTACGTAGACGTCTTTCAAGACGAGCAGATCATGTCCAAGTTTCTGATCCATACAGCAGGAATGGTTCAATCAATTTTCGAAAGGTTTGGATTTTTAAGGAGAAGAGAAATAGGAGGAGAGTTCACACGCCAGCTATCTTTTTCTTAACTATCTTGTCAGCGATTAAATAAATATTTTATCAAGATATCTGATTGATATAATTGTTATATTGTTATATTGTTAATTGTTATATTGTTCTTGTAATACCTCTACAGAGGTATTACAAGAACAGTATTTTCTGGTAATGGATTTCACCTTTTTTTTTCTTTTGCATGGAAACCTTTCAGCCAACAATAAGAGTTACTCCCTTTGTACCTTTGTAAATTAAATATGCCACGTATGCAAAACAAATAATGTAACGAGGATTTTTTAATCACTGCTGCATGATGATTCTTTCTCTTCTAATGTCATTCTCAACTTTTTCCGCATTTCGTTTTGTTTCTGTTCTTTAAATTTTTTAAATGAAATACACTTTTTAACTCTGCGTGCGTTATAGCAATCGTCATGGGTGAATGCTGGCTTTCTTTCCATAAAACTGACAACCTTTTCAATAACATTTTCAATTTCAGTTCAGGTCTCATCACAATCATAGATCACCTTTACAGCGACCAGTTTTGAGTTCTTCTGTAGTTTATTGATGTCTGTCGCATCTACTTCTCCTTATAACGTTGTAATAAATATGGTGACAAAGATGAGGACAATAGTCCACATAATGTAAATAATGTACATTCAAGCACCAAATCTTGTGAAGTTTGTCACACGCACCCTATGCAAGAGCTATGCGGATGTTGAAGTCCTTTGGTGAATCTATTATTATATGACTATAAAAAACTACCTTTTATGGGACCTTACCCATAATAACATAATGGACTATTCCATACGTAATAAATACTGCGCCTCAAGAGGAAGCAGAGAGTTCAGCCCGAAGTCGAGCGACCGGCTGACAGGCTGATCGGTTGAACTCTCTGCCTCCGGGCGGGGAGGAACCCGAACGAGGTTACGCCGAAGGGCGGAGTCTCTTTCGCGGAGGTAAACCGACCCTGAACCCATTTATACGGGTTCAAAGGGCATATTTTTGGCCGAGCCCACGGTCTCGGAGATCCCACGTTAAACCGGCCTTGTGCCACATTATGTCCTCGTAGGGGGGGTGACTAAATACCGTTCAGTCTGAAGTCTGGAGTGAAGTCCGTCAGAAGTCCGTCAGTCAGTCAGAGCGAGTCAGTCAGTCGAGTCAGAGGCAGTCCGAAACAGAGTCGCGTTCAGACAATTACTACTAAACCTGATTGTTCGTACGGAAACTTTTCTACCTCTCTGTATATATTCCTGTTTGTAATATATCTTTGTTATTCCATATCCGTATTCGAGTTCTACTTTATTGATTCTACATTGGACTATCACCTTCGTACAAGGAACCGGACCATAACACTATCACAGCAGCATTATCGAGCATAATAACGCTTTGGTCCTATACTCTACAGAGAAGTCTACCATCCCTGAAGAGGAGGGTTCGCATACCAACTGTTTTTGGCAACCATCTTGCCAATGATGAAAAATTTTATGGGACATTGTATAAGGCATTCGTGTTCAATAGGTTTTTCTGAAATGTA